GGGGAGGAAGGGGAGGTTTCCCCCCCCCCCCCCCCGTCTTACTCCCAAGCCACTGAAAACACTGCAGATAACATCTCCAGGACACCCCTCTTCCTTGTCGGGCTTTGCCATGCTCCAGTTTGGAAGCCCTGGCCTCTCTTGCACTTGAGAGCTCTTTTTTGGAAAGACTGCAGTCAGAGCGGTCTTGGATGCTGCGTGGACAGGAGGGTGTGCATTTCAAAATACATCAGCACCATTTTCTTGATTCAGCCCCTGTAGTCACTATTTTCCATCACCAAAGGTCTATTTTTTAAAAATGCTTGACAGAGCACAGTAATGTAGTACCAATATAATGATCCACTATTCCCACACAAGGGTTCCCAGGTTCCATTTTTTAAAAGATAAGTATCTAACCCTTTTCCTTACTGATTTATAAGGGGAAACATGCAGCCTGAAGCATTCCCCTTATAACTCTGCAACAAAAAAGGCCTAGAAGATTACTTTTTGGATGAAAGCTGGGAATCAGTAGATCTCTGCGGTAGATCATTATAATGGTATAGCAATCTGTCAGTTAAGCAGCTCTTTGAGAAGCATTCTGGTGGCGTGGGGGGAAATAGCTGCTGTGGATCGCTGAGGCAAGAAAAGCACAGTGAAAACTGATGTAAAGATGCTCTGTTGCTAATGTGTATACCTCCGCATTCCCAGCCGCAAGAGCTCTGTGGAAAGATCATGGTTGTGTGGAAACAGCCCATGTTCCGAGGCTTTGAACGAAGCTACTCCAGGCGCTGCCCTCCTAAATCCACATTTTTTCTTTTTTGTTTGTTTTCTTGCATTGTTCCCACTTCTTGCCTTCTCCCATTCCTTGTAGTTCTCCTCCCACACACACACACATACCCAGGGCCAGCTCGAGGTGTTTCTGCGCCCTAGGCAAGCTGCCTTGTGGCGCAGATGCCAACCTCCCGGTGGGGCCTAGATACCTGGAGACCTGGAGCCAGCCACCCTTTTGCTGCTGCCACCACTGCCTCCTCCCCCCTCGCCACCACCACCAAAGGGGGGAGGAGGGGGGAGGCACAGCTTGGCGCCCCAGCCAGGGCCCGGCGCTCTAGGCAAATGCCTAGTTTGCCTAGTGGGTGAGCCGGCCCTGTGGGGGGGGGGGTTTTGGGCACTCGTGATGAACTGTGTGTGTCTGTCTTTCACAGCACTTGCATACAGTGACGTCCACATGGGAAATCTGTGTGTTCTCTGCACCAGACTTCTCCAGTTGGAGAAGCCGTTCCCCAGCTAAGCAGAAAATGTGTGACCGCTCTCCAAAGCAGGCTTGTCTCTTTGCACCACTCAACTGATGTCCGGCCATATCAGTGAGCAGCCCAGGCACGGCGGGAGCCAGTGAGGGTCCATTTGGGCCCGATGCATCCAGTAGGGGGGCCAAGGAGCCATAATGGGCTTTCCCTGCAGTGGATGTTTGCCAACCTTCATGGCCCCCTGACCGGTCAAAGAAGTGTTTCAGATTTGCATATATCATGTCCCTGGGCGCTTTTTTTGTAGAAAAAGCCCAGCAGGAACTCATTAGCATAATAAGCCACACCCAACAGCAGAAACTCGTTAGCCTATTAGGCCACACCCCTGACCACACAGCTCATTAGCCTATTAGGCCACACCCTATGCCTTCCCTTGGCTTGCCTGGGCACCCCACGGCTGCAGGGAACCTGGGCAAGCCAACCCTTGTAGGGAAGGGAAGGCAGTTTGAAGCCAGCCGGAACTCCGTTCCTGTGCGTTCCTACCCCAAAGTAGCCCTGTCATGTCCAGTCTGTTACATGCCTGATTGTCATTTAGCATACAAAAAAGCATAAAAATTAGCATAAAAATAAAAAAGCATTAAAAATCTCTCTACATAAAAATGGCAGCGCTCTGGTCAGGCCCAGGGGAAACTTAGATTTTTTTTAAAAAAAACTGAGGTGGGGCAGAGTCACACCTGATCAAGAATCTGGAACAGGATGCCTCCCCCCCCCCCCCCGGGGGCCACCGCCCCCCCCCGGTGCGCAACGCTGATCATTTCTACTCTTTTTATAGCTGAGGGAACCTCATGCACCCGACAAGGGAGGGTATGAATAGGGGTAAGTCTGTGATACTGTGATAACTGATATTGGCTCTTCTTTCTGCAAGGACCCCTAAACAACCTGTGGAAACAAAACAAGTGGGCTTTTTAAAAAAATTAAAGTTGGGGGAAAGTTGGCAAAACCAGAGACTTGGTGGTTACTGTTTTTGGAGCCTCATACTTGTTCTTTAGAATGGTATTAATATATAAAACCTCTGACTTTACCAAGGTGTCTTTGTGCAGAAGCTCTTTTCTTTCTGAGGGTGGCTCTTGTGGGGTTCCTGCTG